CAATTGGTCACTCATGTATAACTCTATTTATTTTCTTTAGAAACCACTTTGAAGACAGCAAAGTATAGTACAACAACTACTGATAATCTCCTACCACTTTTGTCTGTAACTCACTATTATTTGTCTATTTGTTTTCCTGAGAAACTATCTTGTAGCTAACAATATGTAAAACAACAACCATTGATAATTTCTTACCATTTTGTCTGTAATTTGGTAAGCCTCCCCATTACTATATTATGCTTCTTTTACTCTTTAAAATAAAAAAAAATATGAAAGTGATAACAGTTTATTGCTGGTTAAACATGTAAATTGAAAAAATGACTTAATATCTACTTTCTAAACCCTCTGAATCACAGTAAAGCTATAAAAAGATATCAACCACTGGAATAAAAAAAAAAAAGGGTGTATCAGTTACTTTCCTGTTGCTGTGACAAAAGACCTGATACCCACAACTTAAAGGAAAAGAGGTTTATTTCGGTTCACAGTTTCAATGGGTTCAGTTTATGGTAATCTGGTTTCAAAGCAGAAACAGTATGAAGAAAGGGTATGGTGGAAGAGAGCTGCTCACTCTATAGCAGCCAGGAAATAGAGAGAGCAAGAGGACAAGCTGGGGACAAGAACACATCCTTTCCCATCATGCCTCTGGTGACTCATCTCTTCTGACCAGGCCTTGCCTCCTAATAATACATTCAGCTATAAACTCCCCAGTGGATGAATTCACTGATAAGGATAGTGCCTCCAGGGTCCAATTACCTTCTAAAGGCCCCACTTCCTCTGAATGGGAGAATTTGAGGGGATATTTTAGATCTAAACTATAACAAAAGAATTCAGATACAAAAGGATTCAATATAGATAAGAGATATTAATGTGGCTTGGAAGGTAGAAAGCATTTGGAAGAGAGGTAATGAGTTTTTTTTTATTTTGGTGGTACTGGGAATTGAACTCAGAACCTTGCAATTGCCAGGCAAGTGCTGTGCTACTGAGCTATCACTGGCCCCTTTTTCTTTTTTCTTTCCTTTTCCTTTTCCTCCTTTCCTCCTTTTCTCCTTTCCTTCTTTCTTTCTTTCTTTCTTTCTTTCTTTCTTTCTTTCTTTCTTTCTTTCTTTCTTTTTTTCTTTCTTTCTTGACAGGGTCTTATTATGTAGTTCAGGCTGGCCTTGAATTAACTTTGTAGCCCAGGCTGGCCTCAAACTAACAGCAATCCTCCTGCTTCAGCCTCCCAAGTGCTGGGATTACAGGCGTGCACTACCACGCCCAGCCTGAGGTAATGAGATTTGCAGAATCAAGGAAACAGAA